TAATGATGCTTTATAAATCAAAAAGTGAAATAGTCTTATAAAATGACTCTTTCAACAAATGGATTTTGGCTATGGAAGTTTTTATTAAATGCATAGTTGTTGCTGAGCAGTGTGCTGTATTTTATGGTTTCACAGCCTCTTTGAACGTAAAGGCTTGTGTGGTCTTTTGTCTTGCAGCATTTCATGTGGAACCCAGGGAGCCTGAAGGAGGCTGTGAAGCTAGTGGAATGATTCCCTGTGTAACTGAAACTATGTAAGTATTAGATGTTTGCTTACAGGATCACTTGCCCAGCATCAACTGTTAAAGCGGCGATTGCTTCTGGTTCAGCAGTTGCAATTATCCTTTTGTGCCTCCTCAGAGGAAAGCTGTGTGTCTGCTCAAAGCTGGAAGAAGACAGGGCACCCATGATACTTTCAGCTATTTAAGAAGTCATGTATCCCTTTCCACTAAAAGGTAGATAATGTGTAGTGAAAAGTTGAGGCAGAGTTAAGCTCTAGCAATGTTGTCTTTGCCTTTACTAGTGAACTGCTACTTGGGAAAGGATTTAATGGTTGGCTGAGCTGTGTCCCCTTTTGTTATGAGATTTCCTAAATTTGTCTTTGATGGGTTCTTGAATGTGTGGAGGATTTTTTCCTCTTCTTTCTTGATACTTAATGTGTTTTGAAACTCATTGTAAATATCTTCTGATGCAACACTTTATTAAATGGCATAATGCTCGCCTGTGTTTTGTTGTTCTCTGGATGTATCTGATAATTTCTATTACTACAGTAACATTGGTCATTAAGTTAAAATACGGGGTTACTTAAATACCTCCTTTGCATCTTGTCTCCTCCTGCCAGCTCTCCCCCACTTCAGTGCTGCTGTTTTCAGTTGTGCCATGGCATGCTTGCATGACAGAGAATTATTACTGAGTCATTTTGTTGTTTTGCTCCCTTCCAATCTTGGGTTGCATGTGGTCTGGTCACTTGAAAATGGAGAAAAACTGATTTCTCTACAGCACTTAAAAAAAAAAAAAAACACCCCCCCCAAAAAAGCCCTAAAAAACCCCTCAACCCAACAAACAAACCAAAAAGCCCCAGTAAGCATTAGCAAGGTCTTTCCAATCTTCTCTAGGTTTTCTGTTTAATGTATTGGGTAATACAGTTCTACACATCCTTTGTTCTTAGATAGAGGCTTTCCTTTTCCTTCCTTTCTAGAAAGGAGCAGAGAGCATCATTGTTGATCTCTGCTTTGCAGTTCCTGTTATGTGGAAGATGGCCTCATGGGCATCTTGGTGATTCATATTTACTGTAGCTTATTGCTCAATGCTTGTCTGAGTAACTCTTTGGGAGTACTGTATCCTGTAGCACTAAGTATGTTCCAACCTTAGCCCTGAATTTTGATCTTTTTTAGCAGAATGGCAAAACTAGTGGTGAGCACTGCCTTTTGTGTCTCACTGTTAATGTTGTACTGATACAGTAGTTCTGCTCCTGGGAAATGATCCTTTTGGGAATTAGTGCTTTGTCACCAATCCAGTATAACCTTTGGGTACACAAGAACTTTATACTTGTACTACCTCATCCAGCTGTGAGAAATAGCTCCGCACATCCTTGTGCTCACTTAGCTGCAGTCAGCATGACCTAGACATGATGTTTGTTTTGCTCTGAACTTAAATGCGTCGCTCTGTTCACTTTCCTGAGAGTGCTTTTTCATATTCCTTGAATGCTGAGTTCAGTGCAGCTCCTGATGCTGCAATGGGATCCTCTCTCCAGCCTCCCTTAACAAAAGGGCCGACTTCTCCCACTTGTTTCTATCTCTTTCTGACGCTCTTGTTCCTTTCAAGCCTTGAAACCTGAGTCATGTAGGAAGCGGAGGTGACTAGTAAGTGAAGTGGATCCAGCTCAGTGAAGGCATTTTATAAGCGGGTAACTGATGGAGCGCCAGAAGACTTTTCTCTTACAAAACCAGATACATGCACAAGCTGCCAGCGGATGCAGTCTGACCTTTAATTTTTTTTAAAAGGGTTTTGCTATTTTTGGGGTAGAATGCTTCAAAGTGTCTGGCACATAGCATCAAGTTTCATGTAGTAGAAAAGTGAGGAATTGCAGCAACTGTACTTGAGTATCTTCTATGGTGTTTGTTCCTAATGAGTAGGATTGTGCTCTGAAAGCCTCCTCGGCAGGGAGGAGGAAAGAACTCCGTTACTGCAGGGAAGAGCAGTGCTAGCAGAGCCCAGGCAGTGGCTGTTCAGGAGCAGCAGCCAGCTCCTTGTAAGGCAAGTAGGTTGGAGTACAGAAAGCATGTTTGTTAGAGGGGTATGCTGCAGGGGATGTGGTTAACTTGCACTCTATGGGTTAATGTTGCTGTGCTCTCCAGTGGTTTTTGGAAACAGCTGTTGGGACACTTCCGCACTTACAGGTGTTTAATAATGCTGGCTGACCTTCCCTCTGTGTACTGTAATGCTGTCTTTTCATGACAGCAAATGACAATAAACCCCATCTGTTTCATCTTACTGGTGATGTCACTTTGTAGACTCAAATATTAGACTGTTACATCATCAATACAAGTTGTTGCTTAGGAAATACGACAGTATGAATCACTTCCATTAGGAAAACTTAGGGACAGAGAATGTAAGTTAGTCTTGCAAACTGTCTTTTTAACTTTAAATGGGGATTCCTAAAGTGAATTGGATTAATATCTCTCCGTTATGCTGTGTGTGATTTTACTACTACCAGCTATTTTAGAGGAAAGTACCTTTCACTAATAGGCAGCTATTCTTTAGCCTGCCCATAGGAAAAAGCTGTTCCAAATCCCCAACAGCTAACAATTGCTGTTATGTGTTTGAGCAGAAAGTTTTATAAACTATCTATACTCTACTTTAAATTCTACTAGTGGTTTTTACTCAGGATTTCTTCATTCTGTCCCTTTACTTGCATGCTTCTCTCTAAAGGAAAACTCAGCCAAAGCAGTGCTAGCAGCCTTGGAGAAACTGATGGAAGAACAAGGATTAAGGTAGATGGAGTATTTGAATTCTGATTAATTTAAAAAAAGGCTGGTATCTGGGAGTTAATCTCTAAGCCGTAATTTACACTGCCTAATAATATCCTCTTTGTTTTGGTGTAATGAAAAAATGGCATAGACTGGAGAATATGCTGTTGCTCAGATGCGTGGCAGCACAGGAACCAGTGCCAGGCTGTACTCTGCAATTCGCAAAGAGCTGTGAAGTACTAAGGACTGATGAAATTGTTTTTTGGGTTGTTTATATGGAAATGCATATTTTAATGAAGCCTTTAAAATACAAATGAATAAGGAATTATTCTTGAATACATTAAATTGAACTTCACTTGCCTATAAAAATGTTCATTGTTAAAACACTTTGAAAGTAGATACCAGATATTTGTTCCTTCTGCTGCTGAAAAATAGGTTTTTGTTAGTTTTGTTTGGGGGTTATGGGCTAGGAAAAGGAATCGGGGAGGGGAAGCCAGGTAGTTGAAACCAGCATCTTGGCAAAAAATACCTTTTCTTTGCTCATGAAACTGCATACATGCTGTTTTGACAAAGCAGGTATAATGGTTGAGAGAAGATTTATGTTTGTAATCCTAATATCTGGAGAATTCATCTGCGCTTGGTGCTGCTGTTCCAAGTTGATTTACAGCTTAAAACAGGGGTTTGATCTCGGAAGAATACAGAAAACCTGAAGTCTATTTTATTTTTTCATTTTTAATTTTAATCTCCTTTCTCATTCTAATTCTGTAACCTGGGAGCAGTAAACAAAGACAAGGCAAACCCAATTTTTATGTTTGAGGCTTTTGCCTAACTGACAGCGGAGATGAAATGCTAATAAGTGGGTAAAGGAGGAATATGATAAGCAATTGCTTTCTTGGAGTTGATACTTCTGAGAAATGGACTGTCCATGGTGTGGCTGCGTGCTGATAGGATAGTGTCAGAGTGTTAGTTTGGTATTAATAGGGATAATTTAAGAAACCTTTTCTGGGGGTAAAATATATTTTCCAAATATGCAAGGCTTTAACATTGTGATTTATAAAAACAGAACATGATGAAATAATTTGTCATTTTAGTTTTTATTTTTTTAACAGAACTGGAATTGCTACTTCTTATCTGCATGGGTGTCTGTCTGAAAAAGGTTCATTAAAAAGGCCCCCTCCCTCTGTCTGTCTCCTTACCTGAAGGGAGGAGCCCACTTGAAACAATGAATAATTGCTAAACACTATCTTGCATGAAAAGTGAGTGTTGCACCTTTCTGCAAACACCCTCTGTATGTGTTTCAAGAACAAAAAGTCTAGATTCCAAACTCAGTTTAAAAAAACCCCAAATCTACAGCTCCCATCAAACTGTTACACCTCGCACCCTCTCCAAATTAAAAACAAATCCAA